TTTAAAACCATCAAATTAAATCAGGGCGCTATTGGAACAATATATTCTTCAGACTAAATAGAGTAAAAAAGTCTAGTACCTTTTTCTTCCGACAAATAGTTAGCGAGATATCGTAAGTTAAATATTGAAAAAGTTATCAAGTTTTCCTTAAATATCTAAAAAACATATTAGGCAAAAAATGTTTTAGACAAAAGTTGTCCAAATTAATTGGTGGAAAAAGACGGTGTTATAAAAAATTGGGGTTTCCATTCGAGATTTTTATGTTGATCTTGACTGGGCTTTTCAAGAGGTCCCCATCCCAAGGTCAAATTCATAGCATCAGGAAATAGATCCTCTGAAGCCATATACAACTTTGGTTTGAAACATTTTTCTCAGAAACGTTTCGTTTTCGAGATATTTGATACCGTTTCCAGACTCTTGGTACACCCTGTATATTCGTGAGAGAGGAAGCTCAGATTGCGGAACAATATCGAGCTCAGATCGCGTCGAACGACGTGGCGAACGATCTCACGAGGAAGGGAGAAAAACGACGACGCGAGGGAAAAGTGCCCACGCGATCTCTCGCGAGTTCGCTCACGTCGAATTAAATCCCCAGGATCGAAACCCGCAAAATTTGATTCGACGTCTACCAACCACCGTCGCCGTAACTTCTCGGTTTAGCACTCGGGGAGCTCTCCTTCTCCCACGAAGTACAAAGAACCTTTTGCGCGACGACGAGATTCTCGCTTCCGTCTCCCAGGCTTTTCTTCCGGACTCGACCGTTTAATTAATTTCCACACCGACTGGTCCCTTTCGCCCTCTTGCCTTCCTTCCTTCCTCCCGTTCCCCCTCAATTCAACCCCGTTCCGGGTGCCGGCTCGTCTTCCCCGAGAATACTTTACCGGTATTTGTCGTAAAAGGCTGGGACCTTTGTCCCACAGCTCGACGAGTGCATCTGACGAGAACAGACACCTAGATACACCCAGGTATCTTCGTTAGAGTTTCATTCCCCTCGTCCCTCCCGCCCCTAACCCGGTGTACGTTGGTCATGCAGTCCGACTCGAAAATGAAGTCGTCGGCGCGCGAAGAGCGTGAAAGCTCCGGATGGAATTTACGTAGCATGTATCATCGTGACGGCGTGACGCGCGCCGTGTGAATACTCGCAGGATACTCGCAGGAACAAAGTGTCCTCGCAATGCGGGAAATCACTCGAGCGCCGGGGCTAACTTAACGCTTTAAGACTGCAGACTTGGAAACTGCATTAACACCCGGAGAGCAGAGTATCGTTATGCAATATCGGACGAGAGCGTGCCGCGTGACTTCTGTCACTTGAATGAGAGAGAAGCCCGCGGCCGCTCTCCGAGAGAGAGAGAAAGAGAGAGAGAGAGAGAGAGAGAGAGAGAGAGAGAGAGAGAGAGAGAGAGAGAGAGAGCCAGCACTCTCTCAGCCTCTTCCATGGGATTCCATGGGCTGATCGAAGCAATGACGCGCGAGCGCGACACATGTCGCGGAATGCGCGATCGCCGCGTGTGTATATTGGATATCAACTCTGCACAAAGACGACGACGCGGTCAATTATTTCCCGAGCCGACGCGTGCGTTCGATCGACGTGAGGTCGATCGCGGACGGAAATATCGCGCCGAGAGAATCCAATCCAGGGTGTACGACACGTCTCGTACTCTCGCGCGACGCTCCGCGGAGCTTCGGCGGGAAAGAACGAAAATATGGGACACGGCCGCGCTTAAGACACTTACCGGGGCGCCATTGTTCTCACCTTTCGCCGCCGCGACAATGAGGACGAAAACGGGACGAGCGCGCTCGCTAAGAAGCAGGGGAAACCTAGTCGAATCGAAACGAAGAGATTAAACTGCACGATGCAATCCTGCTGCGTGAATCCTGGAACCGCGCCAACGCGTCATTCCTGTCGTTCCTTCTGTCTTTCCTCCCCCCCCCTCTCTCTCTCTCTCTCTCTCTCGTTCATGTTTCTTCCTTCGCAAGACAAATAGTCGGAGCGACAGTTGAACGACCTTGCGCGCGTACCATCGTCACGCTTGTATGCTAATCGGCCTTAATCTGACAATCTTGCTATCACGAAATACGCCCTCTTTTAAGCGCGCCTCTTGACGCCGCGTTATAACCGTGTCGCTTTTATCGTTACATCGACGCCGCGCGAAAATTGCGGCTCGCGTGCCGCTGATCGCGCTGGTGAGATTAGCGAAACGCGATGGCTTCGCCCGCACGGCAGAGAGAAATGATATTATAAATGTGTCCGAGTTTCCCTCTTTCTCCCTCTCTTCGGAGAAGAGAGAGAGAGAGAGAGAAGGAGAGAGCGAGTATAATAGCGAGAAACGTACACGTAGGAATTCCTCATTCATGGAGGAAAAACCGACGATACAGAGACGCCCGCGGACGGTCCTGAATACTTGGCCGCGAATATTGGCAGTTACGAAGAATCGACATTGAAAATATCGTAACCGGGCAACGACCAAATCTGAAATTAAAGCGCCGATGAATCGTGAATGAGATGTGAGCGTCAATAATTCGCCGGTCATTAATCGAGCCGGGCGCGTTAAAGGGACACGTGGAAACGTTGCAAATTGCCGAGGAAATGAAGAGCCTGAAGTGGTGCGTAGACGAAAACAGACAAGTCGTAAGAGGCACACGTGGAACAGCAAATTTCAAAATAGAAGGCGCGCGCGCTCGCGCACATACACGCACACGCATACGTACACAAAGAGAGGAAGAAACAAAACGATAAACGGAAAATCACGTCAACGACTCGAAGAAAATACATCGAAGAGAGTCACATCGACAAAATACAGCGAAAAAGTGCACGACTGTACGATTAAGGTGCAACGACAGAAACTCGTAACAGTGAGAAAGACGTTGACAAAGAGAGAGAGAGAGAGAGAGAGAGAGAGAGAGAGAACAGAGAAGTGACGAGAAGGCCGTCAACCGCAAAAATCTACGCGCGCGAGCCCAAGGAAAAAGTACAAAAGGGCAAAAATACCGTCGCATCTGTAAACACGATTATACCGGGATGAGAGGTATCTCGAAGACGTCTCGGTAATATTTCTGCAAACATCACGTGATACTTTTCACCATTACCGAGACGCATCTGCTCGCAACGTTCGATTTGCCCGACTGTCCTTTCCCTTAGACACACACATACGCGTAGAATTTTGCACCGGCGAGAACATGTACTTACAACGTGCACACGCACACGCACACGCATTCGTGAACAAATGTAATCACACAACCACGAAATATATATACAGACGTATTATTTGCAGACGCAAACTCGACCGAACACGCCGGCAACAACGATCTCATCGTAGGAGGTATAATCTTCTTTTTCGTGCGAATATATAACTGTACAAGGATTATTTACACAGCTTCGAATGAGGAATTCAACAGCGAAAAAGCGAGAGAAGGGGAGAAAAAGAGGGAGGGAGAGAGAGAGAGAGAGAGAGAGAGAGAGAAAGAGAGCAAGAGAGAGAGAGAGAGAGAGAGAGAGAGAGAAAGACAGAGAGAAAAATAGGTGACTCTCGCGCTCGCTGGGACGTCATCGGCTAAATACGCTTTCTCGATATGGACCGGCTCGCGGATTAATTGTCAAAGCGTTCGGCTCTTTCTTTTTCCTCTCTTTTTCCATTTTTTTTTTATTTTTGTCCTTGCGCCGCGTCCGGAACGGCGGCCGATGTTACCGGTCTAAATACTCGGAGACGAGTTCATCCAATTATCGGGGGAAGAGCATTCTTTTGAAGCGCTAACTTTCCGCCGCACACACGGACGCGAATATATACGGATATAAAACGGGGCTATTAAACTGAAAATGTGCGAGTGAGCAGAGCTCCCTTTCGTATGTGCGCGCGAGAAACGACGAGAGAGAAGTAACAAAAAGGGAATGCGAAAGGTTACCGAGATACGACCCCGATATCCCGCGAAGGATAAGGAGAGAACGAGATGCGAGATGGTGGAATTGCACGTGAGACTCGGTCGAAAATTTCCTTCGGGATATCGTCCTTCGTTCCCCGTTCAGCGTATCTCCGATGGATTTTACGTCCGGTTCGCAATTCGCTCGAGTTCCCTTCTTGTCTCTCGCTATGTACAGATTGCTATGTACCCTTTCTCTTACGGAGCATAATTGTATGCAAGTTAATATGTAATAATTCAATGTGATTACATCACACACACGCACACACATACACGCACACACACACACACACACACACACACACACGCACGCACGCACGCACGCACGAAGCATCGTAAAATCGTGTCCCTATTAAGACAGAGAAAGAGAAACACGCTGTTAATATACTAAAGCCACCCGACGTACAATGTCAGTGTCACAAAATCCACACGCCGAGAGGGGGCAAGGGGCATATACTGTACGTAATTAAAAGCGCCGCTAATCGCATTAGCAATACGGTCGGTAAACGCGTGCGGATAGGAGGAAGACGATCTCCATCCGCCGCGTCTGCGATTATTGTTAACGCGGTTAATCGGATTTCTAGCATCACCGCGTAATACCGACGCAGTTATCGCGCAAAATTGTTAGCGCTAGAGTATATTATTTACAGCGAATATTATTTACAGAGAGACAGTTAGAGAGAGAGAGAGAGAGAGAGAGAGAGAGAGAGAGAGAGCGAGAGAGAGAGAGAGGGGAGAGAGAGAGAGAGAGAGACTTCAAGAGGCTATACAGGAATACAATACGAAGATAAAGCAACACCACGCTGGGCCAAGAAAAACAGAAAGACAAAGAAAAAGAAATATCAGTGTACTGTATATATAATATAGTGTATTGTGTGTGTGTGTGTGTGTATGTATACATGTAGACGATATGTATACGTATGGCGGGGGTATCGTATACGTGTAGCAGAATTTATCCGCCTGTACATGTGTGTACGTGTGTGTTGTGTATGCGTAGATTGTGTGTGTGTGTATGTGTGTTGTTTCCGCGGATTGTACGTGTCGCGCGACTTTCCTCGTGTTTTTTTTCGCTCGTCATATGATACCTTGGCACTTCATGCCCTGGTGGATGACACCATAGAGAAGACTACCGCAGTGGTCACAGAAGGTGGGGCTGTTGTAGGTGTGTTGCTTGAAATGGTGCTTCGTCCGCGTGTCCTGCGTTATTACACCATTACACCGTGCACACACACACGCAGCCTCTCGGGCTTGATGATGATGATGGTGGTGATGATGATGATGATGATGATGATGATGATGATAACGGTGGTAATGTGGAAGAGAGGAGAAGGGCGAGGGGGAAGAAAGGGAATCGCGAGAGGACGCCGTCGGAGGGACGTTGGGAAAACGCGACCGAGGAGGGAAGGGGGGGTGGATCGGCATGTGGATCGCTGGATTTCCCAGTTGGTTCCAGTTACGCGTTTCAATTCGAGCGACGACATTTGACCCGGCAATGGAGACCAAAGTGGTGACGAATAAAAGCAATTTGCGAGACCGGCTCGGATCGTATGTCTGGAAATATTTTATATATCCGTGTTATTCTTCCTATGTTTTCAAACCGACGCAGACGTTATTACGAGGCATCAAGCGCCCCGGGCGAGTGTGGCGAGATTAAAATCCCCGAAGAACAATCAAATTGAATAGAATGTTTCAAGAGAGAAGGATTGAGAGAGCTTGAGGAGTCCGGTTGCGTTTGCCGCTACGAGACGTAATCCGATTAGGATAAGAAATTTTCCCCAAGATCGAAAGGCTGGCTCACAGCTCGATCTGCTCTGAAATAAACCGCTAATCGCTACCGCCAACCCTCAACGGTACGGAACCGCCGTTCTCCGTGACGAAGGGGTTGATATCTCGAAAGGTCCGGGCTAGTTTCCGAACGCCGCGTGAATCGAGGGGAAAAGTTTTCCGGCTCGGCATGCTCGGGATGAAGCGTTCACGCGCGGACCTGCCCTCCTCTAAAAGCTTAATCATCGCGCCGTGTTCTTTCGACTTCCCGTTAGTTATCGTCGCCACGACGAGAGAAAACGAGGTCAAACATCGCGCTCGAGAATGGAATGGCGGTTTAAACATCGACATGTTCTTCGAAGTTGCGGACGAGGAACAAGTTGCGATACGGCCAGCAGCACGGGGAGAAGCATAGGAGTCGACGCGAGTCTTAAATCCAAATAGGATCAAACAGCCAGTCTGTTCCAGCAATTTCCCGAAACCACCGGCAACAGCAGCTGCTGCTGCTTCCTGGATAATATGCGAGCGCGGAAACCGAAACAAGCTCGCAGGAAGTTTCGCGCGGAGATCGCGGTCGCAAGTCCATCGCGCGGAGCGCATTAAGCCTTCCGATGCTTCCGGTTACCGCGGAACATGCGGAACTCCGTTCGCTGGAGTTCGCCCGGGCCGAGGTGTGAATTCGATCAGTCGACCCTCGCTAGCTCATTATTCGAAACCACCGTGTTATTAGCAATTACGTTACGTCTGATGACCTGAGACGTCCAGCCATCAAAACAGGAGCCGGGGTATCATTGCTGTCAGCTCAACCGGAGACGCAGCGCGGAGACGTGCGGTTGTCGAGAAAAAAATCGCAATCGAGTCTCTTCCGGACTCTGAAATTATTTTACAAAGTAAGAAGACAGAGAAGCTCAAGTTTCTCGTTTAATCAAGAGTTAATCGTGTAAAGCGACTTGAAGTCAATTGGATTTGCCGAGATTCGCACGCTCGAAGACGGTCGGGAGATTCTTTCGTTAGATCGTCGGTAATCGTACAAAGACAACTCGCGAAAAATTCAGATCTCTGTTGGTCTCGGTAAAAAAAAAAAAAAAAAAAAAAAAAAAAGCTGTATAAGGCGCGTGCCGCGAGGCGACGATGATGTGGTGTAAGCATCGATGTTGCACCGACACCTCAACGAACATTCAACGAAGCGACGTACGAGTGGAAGCCACACGCGAGGGATTCATTTCACGAAACGGCCTTCGTTAACAACGCGCGGCTTGTCGCGCACCGGAAGGATAAAGAAAAAAAAAGAAATATTATATATATGTATATCTACGATCGCGCGCGCACGCGCACGCGCACACGCTCACACCCGAGCGCGCTTTTTCTCCTTTGACAACAATGAAAAGGTATTATGCGAGTTACAGGGAAATCCATGATCGCCGATATTCGCGCGGATCAATAGACGCGGAAAGGATTACCTTTGAAGCGCAGAAGCACAATGACGGAGAGAGAGGTGAGGCGGGACGGGGAGTCAGCAGCCAGGATCAAAGGGAGACAGTGCGCGGACTCTCGATTAGTTCGTCGGAAATTCCCAGAGATAAGTGAAACCTTCTCTCCCCGACGCGACAAAACGAGGGAAAACGTTCCGCCGGCTCGCGCGGCGACGCGACGCGACGCGACGCGACGCGACGCGACGCGGCGCGTCTTTTCCGCGCGGAAAGTTTGGCGCGTCAACCGGCTGTGAAATATGACACACGCACACCCTGTCCCCTGTTGGGACATCTTAACTCGAGGACGAGAGTAGTCGACGAGGGAAGTGGCGGACGAGGGCGCATCGACGAATTGAATCGTCTCTCTCGTCTGCGACGCGTCATCGACGCGCGCTCTTTGCGTTCTCTCTAGAAGCGACGCCGCCAGCACTCCTCCTCTTCTGCCTCTCGACAGCATTAAGTAACCAAAAGTGCTCCGGCGTCAGGTTTCCAATTTCGAACCCTCGTCACACACATCCCGCCCCCGTTCGGGGGCCGAAACTAGATATTTCATTGCCGGTTACGCTTTGTTCGAGTTCTTCCCGAATCGGTGGATCGTGACGGAAGAGAAAGATCGCCGTCTCCGCGAGAGGGGAAATTGCTGAGCCGGAAACGTTTCGCCTCGTCGCTTAACGAGTCGGAACAGGCATTCCGACGCGTGCTCCTTTCTTCCTGTTCCTCTTCGATGTATCGCTCGACGGTCGCGCACAGACGACGTGGTTACAAGCGTGGTGGTAAACGAAAGCGCAAGAGGAAACGACGGCTTAGGCCAATTCGGTGAGCGTGGTGCGAGACAGATGTAGAAAAACGTAAGAAGCCCTTAGCCCCGGGGGGTGTTGTCACCCTTCCTTCTCTTTATCCCAGCCAAGGATCCTCCTCTCATTACCTCGTTATCTTCTTGTCTCCGCTTGACTAGTTTCGCGTTATGACTCGCCGCTTCCTTAATGATACGTTCTATATATACGTATCACTCGCGGGATGAAAAGACGACTCTGCGATAAATTCCCGCGCCTCACGCTCGTGTTTGACTGCTCGATCTGATGGAATTGTTATTCCGAGATAGGGTATGGCAAATTCTTTCCACATTCGTCGTTCGATCTATCGCAGAAGACCTCCGCCTTCGGTGGGGATCAACGTAATGTGTATCGCATCTTACATAACGAAGGCAATATCGCGTGATACTTGCTCGTGAGATATAAAACGAACCAGCCCGTTATCGTTTCGGGAAGTCACTACCTCCCCCTCTTTTCAATCACGAGCTTATAGCCCAATTAATAGCCCCGTCGTTCGCGTTGTTAGTTTTAATAACGTTTAATACGCCACGATTCTCGCGACACGGCAAATATCCACCGGCGTTGCCATAAAGTATCGTTATGTACGCGCGACGTCGTAATCCCTCCGAGAGAAAGAGAAAGAGAGAGAAAGAGTAGCGTCGTTACGCCACGCTACGCGATTTTATAGCCTGATTAATCTTCTTCTGTCAATGCGCCCGTCCCGGCTAAGTGGAAGCGGCACCACGTCTTCTTACGGGCAGATTGGCCGAACGAAATACCGTGTGCGCGTTATTATTATCCATTTACAAGGTGACGGTGCGCGATTTATCGCGCAGCCTTCGAAAATGACCTCGATATTGATTATACGTATCTCTCGCCCTGCCTCAACCCTTTAGCACCTTGCGACGGGACAGTGGACGACGTTTCACACGCGTTTAGCAGCCGTGCAGGCCAATTAGCGCACACTCGGTCGAGCGCGACGCGCTTGTGAACCGCCGTCACGTACTTCATTCTCCAACGTCACACCACGCGGAACTTAACTCACCCTCTCTCTCTCTCTCCCTCTCTCTCTCTCTCTCTCTCTCTCTTTCTCGCAGTCCAAACTAACGTAATGAAAATTCCTGCCGTACGTACGATACCTGCGCACACGTTATCCTTCCTGTTAGCGAATGTAGCTCAGGATCGCAGTCATAAACAAAATTCGAACGCGTTCTTCGCGATTCTCCGAGTTTGAGCGCCCTCTGGCGCCGATCAACTTCCTTCCTTTCTCGAAATTCGCGTAGGTGAAATCCCGACTATGATTACTCAGACACGAGAGGAACAAACAAACGCAAAGTCAAGAAGGAGAGCACGCGTGCACTCGAAAAAAATGGGATCCTCTACTTTCTTTTGTCAAATTCCCCTTATAAACGTAACGTGACGCCTCTTAATGAATCCACTCTTGCCATTTTTACTTTCTTTTCTCAGCGAGAGGAGTTGAATTACCGTACTCTTTTATCATACTCTATCATAATTTCATCAGAAATTTTAGATGAAACTCACCTCGAAGTGAGACAGCGGAGAATTGGCGGCTTTATTGATCACGCGAGCAGCTACGTGTCTCTCTCCCTCCCTCCCTCTCTCCCTCTCTCTCTCTCTCTCTCTCTCTCTCTCTCTCTCTCTCTCTCTCTCTCGCTTTCTGCGCAATCTTCACAAAGATTGCGACAAACGACCCCACACCTCTAATTTGTAATAGTCTTCTACAAAGCCGCAGTCATTAAGGCGTCGTTACGCGCACGTCGTTTGCTCGTCTCGCGTCGTCCTCGAGGAACAAATTTACGATACGACGTCTTACATAAGGGCATCTTACATCATCATCTATCACACCCGGGAGACCGTTGGTAACGTCATTTTATTAAAATGATTATTAATATTTGATGTATCGGCGGACGCTCCCTCCTTTCTTTTTTTCACAAAACACCCCCCGAGCACTCGGGAATCAAAAGGTCGCGATGATGATGAGTTACGTGTCCACTCGAGGCAGCTTTAATAGCTAACGTGTCAAACAGTTATTTGACTCTCGTGGCCAGCTTGACCAGCCCTCGAGCTGCTCTCGGTGACCTATTTCTGCTTATAAAAGAAACTTTGGTTATACTTGTGACGTTTCGACCCGTCCTCGGGCCAGGCGTGCCGCGTTAATACGTACGCGCGCACGCACGCACGTCTTGATTAAAACAAGACTTGTAAACGGAATGAATCACATCATTGAAAGCATCAAGACCCGAGGAGACCACGAGAAGCAGACAGTTGCAAATTCTTCTCCGCGGAATCGGAGACACTCTGTTCATTCAGACTTTGGGTCGACACGCGCGCGCTGCACATCGATTGAAAATTATAAGACTCGTAGAAAATAAGTCGTGCAAAAGATGGAGGTGCGAGAGTTTTCTCTTCGTAACATGCTTGACACGTTGCCTTCATCGATGTTTTCACTGTTACTGTTGCGTGTTCTACCTTTCGCTTATTATTTGTCGAGTATGACTTCGACTCGAACGGAGAACGCGTCGCGCATCGCGTTCGATCGACTCGCGAGATGTCCCGTTGATGCTCACATATTCCTACTTTCATCGGAAACTTTCCGAGAGAATCCTTGGCTGAGAACGGAAGAAGGAACGGGGACGAGATAATATAGTCTCTGCGCGGTAAGGAGGGTAAGTATATGGAGAGAAGAAGAGAGACGTGTATTCGGTATTAAATATGATGTCGGTACTCACGTCCGAGTCAGCTCCTTTGTCGGCCCCCGGACACGTGAAGGTCACGTATTCGTGACATCGCTTGTGAACGACGAAACTACAGACTGAAACACAAGCAAAACACGTGCTGCAAGTTGGTCCGCGAGGTCACACCTGGCCAAGTAGTAGCCGACGAGATCGGCCTGACCATCTTACCTTGGCACTGGTATCCCTGTTTCCCGAAGCCCCTGCAACAGCAAACGAGATCAATTCGTCAGCGGCAGCGAGACAATCGATCGCGATTCGCGAGATTACATTTATGTATTTATCGCGCGAGGAAGATTTACCAATTGCGACTGGAGAGACTGGATTTTGGCGAGCGGAAAGACAAGAGTTTTGAACGCACGAATGCGCGAATGCGCGATTGTCCGATTGTGCGCTGATAAAGATGTCAAACGCTAATGTTATACATCCAGGATGGCGTATAATCGCGGACGGCACCATATAATTCTCGTTTCGCGAATCCTCGCGCAGACGATTTATGAGGCGGGAAGGGGTTCGCGTGATTCGTCGACTGCCAAAATAATTTCAGCATCGCCCAAGTGCCTCGGATGAAGTGCAGTTTATACGTAACGCGATACTTATAGTGTCGCGTGCGTTAACGAGATTATTCGCGGCGGCGCGGGTGCCAACCGCTCTCGCGGAATGTTTCCGTGCTCCGTGACATTTTTGGAAATCGCGATTGCTCGCTGCGACAACGAACAGCGTCCCCCTGAGAGAGGACCGAAACGCGAGAGAGAGAGAGAGAGAGAGAGAGAGAGAGAGAGAGAGAGAGAGAGAGAGAGAGAGAGAGAGAGAGAGAGAGAGAGAGAGCAGCCGGTCGACCTCCGACTGTGAGGTCGCGAAGGGAAAAATAGAATTTCGAAATTAATACGCGCACCCTCTCTCCCCTCTCCCTCCCCCTGATCGTGCGCACGTGCCTTCTCGCCATTTGAATCTTTCGACTTTGCTCCGATAATTTTCATCGCGCGAGCCAATTCCCGGTACATTAATAGTGCACACACAGCGCATGACGATATAAATAATCTATTCCCGCCGCTACCACGCAGCGCTCGTTAATTAGCGCAAGCACCCCCTTCGCGTGAATACGGTTGTTAAGAGTTAGGCTCCGCTAAAATTTCATAGCGCGCCGAAGAAACTTCGCCTGGAGCGGACAATAAAGGGGAGATAAGTGAGCAGGGTGAGGCTCGCGAGAGAGCCTACGAAGGAAGATTCTCTTGGTCCTGCGCGAGAGGGATTCCCTAATCTACGCCGGTGCAGAACGTGGCACAGCTCCTACAGGCGACGGTCACCGATTAACTCTCACGGCGAAACTTTGTCAAAAGGATTTCCAAAATGGCGATTTTATCGTTCTAAAGTCCGCATCGCCCTCCTCCTTCCTCTCTCTCTCTCTCTCTCTCTCTCTCTCTCTCTCTCTCTCTCTCTCTCTCTCTCTCTCTCTCTCTCTCTCTCTAAATTTCTCTCACGAAACGGGGAGACGGACTGCAGAACGCAGGTTTCACGGCTATCCGGCGCTATGTGAGGCCGCGACAGCAGAGGAAGTTGCTCCTTTCTCTCCGGGAAAGAGTCGCCAGTCGCAAGAGTTCAAACTTTCCGCGAGGACCTCGGAAACAGTTACCCCATCACGCGGGAGACGGAATTTTAATGGCACTTTGCGCCCCTCGCTAATTCCACGCAATTACTTCGGCATCGTTCGAAATTTCATTTTCTTGCGAGTCGAACGCGCGCATAGTTGCCGAGATTTCGAGCAATCTACGGCACGACGGAACGAGTCACTTTTCCGACGAGAGCGCGGTAATCAGCGGTGACCGAAGCGTGAGAAAAGACTGTGTTGTACACTGTACAACACACTTTCGAAATTATATTAATTAACATTGAGAAAAATGATCGACGGCCTCTCGATCGGAGTTCTCTGTAAACACAGACGAGAAACAAATGTGACAAATTGTCCTTGCGTATCCTTCTCCCTGCGAGATCATTCTCTCGCATCAGAGAGAGAGAGAGAGAGAGAAAGAGAGAGAGAGAACGAAAGACGAGCGAAACATCGACGTAATTTTATTATACGCTAATATCAGCGTTCGAAGCCAACTGAGCGGATTGAGTATTAAGCTGAGTCGAAAGTGGGGAAAGTCGGCGGCATCGATAATACGCGATAAATCGATGATACGCTCGCTGCAATGCAACTCGGCCATAATCGCGCGATTTTGGAGCAGCCGATATCAAATCGTAAATAATGCATGGCTTATACCGAGTCGTGCAATATCTACTTCGTGTGCGAGCGCGTGATATGCACCGTGCTATACATACCTTCCGCAATACACAGGCCTCGCGCCTGTGTCGCCCTGTGACACGCGCTGCGCGCGTAAATATTTGCGAGATGTCAAGTAGATGCAGCAGCAGCAGCGCGGCAGCGGCAGTTGGAACCGCCCGCTCTCTCGCTCTCTCTCTCTCTCTCTCTCTCTCTCTCTCTCTCTCTCTCTCTCTCTCTCTCTCTCTCTCTCTCTCTCTCTCTCTCTCTCTCGCTCTCGCTCTCTCGCTGTCTCGCTCTCTCGCTCTCCCGCGGCACATTCAATCTCTTCGACGAAAAATTCTATAGGCGGATATTTCCCGCGGCAGTAATATGCCGCGATATCGAGCATCACGTCGAGCAGCGCGCGCCAAGCGTGTGAGCACGAAAAAGGGATTGATATAATCATTCAATCGAGCGCGCGCGCGTAAATGAAACAAACGTATCACCACGTAAAGATTCTCCGGCGTTCGAGCGTCGCAGATGCACGTCGCCGCGCTCTCTCTTTCTCTCTCTCTCTCTCTCTCTCTCTCTCTCTCTCTCTCTCTCTCTCTCTCTGTCGGTCGATGATGCGCGTATATATCGCAGGAACTAGGAACACGATGTGGAATCAAGGAAATCGCGAATCGCGGAGTAGTTAGTTAACCCGGACTGCGAATTATCGCCGAGGCGAGGGCGGAAGCGAAACCGAGCCGGATATAATTCGAGGAACTGGGAAAATCCATATTACATTCACTCTCTCGCGCGGCTCTGCAAATTGCGTATCATCGCGCGTTCGTTATTTACTCGATCCCCCCCCCCCCCCCCGCGTCTGCATACGAACGCGTTCCGTACGCGTACACACACGCTGACGCAATTAGCGGCCGCTAGGATATTTTACGGCCACTGGCCGTGTACTCTCAACGAGGAGAGCCTTTAATTACGCGGGCGGTCGCGAGAATTCAAAATCGACGCGAGCGCGATCAATCGTAGCGCGTCTGGAATTGCCGCGCGCGCGCGAACCCGGAGAACCGGAAGCGCGATGACGTCGGTCTGGCGAGATCTTTTCCCACACAGGTGCTTTTCATATCGCTCGTATTTATAGTCGCCTTTGGCGCGCAAGCGTAACCCCTTATCGCTCTCTCTCTCTCTCTCTCTCTTCGGCTTCTACGGCTCTCTCGCTTCTACGGAACCTAAATTAATCCAACTTTTGCCGGAACAATTAGCAAAGGAACAATTACGAAAGGCGTGAAAGAGATCCGCCGAGCTCCTGTTTTCGTGTGGCGACCACGAGGATACACGTTGACACGTGACGTGTGTCTGCATCCCGTGTCTCGTTTATCTCAATGATCAATCCCGCAATCCGCGGCGCGCACTGCAGGATACCTATTGTGACGTATTGTGTCACTCGATACCTTTATGCTAACGCGAGATACGTTGAGCGCGAGTTTATCTCTTTCGCAGGCGCGTGTTTAATTCTAATGAGTTGTATAATATGACCGAGTGCCGTTTACATTTGTGTGACGTCCAACCGATAGCAGCCGAAGTCGCCATTGTTAAAGGGACGAGAGGAGCGCTCTTTTTCAGCGACGGGGAGGATGAAAGTGCATTTCAACGTCGACCGTTGTTTACGGACGCGGACGCGGGCTGAGGACTTCATGCCCGACCGGCGATTAAATCAGCTTCAACGAGCGAATCAATATTTCAAGGTGCTCGCCGGCCGATCGTCACGAGCGCGCGCATTTTCGCAACGTCGCTGCTGGTTCCTCAATTAAACAGGTACTTTGGTAAGAGAGGGAATTTGCGCGTATCGGTGCGCGAGCACCTACCTAAAAGTTCCCGCCTTTCACCCGCGTATTCTACTTTTCCAGAAGAAGGCGCGTATAATAAATCCTTAAACGTCGGAGTTTCGGTCGGAGTCGCGGGCGTATTATTCGTAGTAAAGGCAAACGCATGTTCGCCTCCGTCTCTCATACCCTCCTTCCCTCCTCCTTTCTCTCATTCTTCCCCATTCTGCGAAATGTGCATTTCGATCTACAACAAATGAGAGTCATGAATTTCAAAAGCAGCAAACGCAGCAACGCTTCCGAAAATAATTCGTCAATCACGCTCGATCTCTCTCGCGACGCGAGAGGACGCGTAATTAATTTACGCATTTGCGTGTAAGCGTCGTTAATAAATTTAATGCTTCTCCGCTCTTGCAATTGCCGCGCGATTGCACGGCAATGGACCTTGTTATTGCTCGATGTGTGGGCGAAATTAATTTATCTTTTCTTTTAAGGCGCTCGCTCAGAGCCCGCTCGACATTGATATTCGCGTTATATCGGCCGTATTATTCGCCGTTATTGCTCGTCGCGTCCCGTTCGAAATCGCGTCTGTATCGGAATGTAAAATTGAATCGATAAACTCCCGCTGCTACACACTCTGCTGCGTCGCTCGAAGCATCGATCTTCTAATTGTCGCTTTATGCCGCTGATGACAATCATGCCGGCGAGTTACGGCACGGCACGGCGCGGCGCGGCGCGGCGCGACGATGCCGTACCAAAAATAAACGAGACCTCACAATGGATGGCGTTGATGACGCACGTCGCGCAAGGGAACGCAACAAAAAGGCGTCGCAACGTCAAGGGTTAAGGGTGGAACTCGTACGAGGGGAAGAAACCATGCAAGATAAAAAGTCGACAGGTCGACTCTCCTCCTCTTTCTTCGCGGGGGTTGCCTGCGGCCGAAAGCGCATTTTCATTCCCAGCTGGAAACGGTTTTGCAACAGCTGAGACGAGATCAACGTGTGCGGGCGGAGCGCGGCAAGTCTGTGATTAGCCTAAATTTATCACAAAGCTCATACATCGGAACGGTAAACACGGTGGAGTTTCCACAACGCGGAAATAACTTTGTCGCGCGTACGCGCAATTGTTCGGCGCC